TCCCTAACCGCGGCAATGACCGACTTTGTCATTCCCGCTCCGCTCAAATTTTTAATGTCTAATCTGAAGTCCATCGTAAACCTGCAACTCAGCAACGAAATTTACTCTATGTGGAGTTTACAGATCTACAGACTTTTCGCTGCAAACGGTTTTGATGGATATCTCACCGGCAGTCAAACCTGTCCCCAAGAACCAGATAATCATCCTGATTGCCGACTGTGGAGATTAATAGATCAAAACCTTATCTCTGTGTTACTCTCTATGATCTCTCCATCGATTTTACCTTACATTCTGCATCTGACAAGTACCTACGAAATTTGGAGCACGTTGGCAAGTCGACTCCAACCCACCAATAGGTCCAGGGTGATCCAATTGAAGAACGAGCTTCACAATATACAAATGAGAGACAGTTCCATGATGCAGTACCTAGCTCAGATCAAAGCGCTTGTAGACAACATCGCGGCTGCCGGCTCGCACATTTATTCCGAGGATATACTCATGTACATCATGAATGGGCTGCCTCCAGCCTACAACGCCTTTGTTACGGCCATACGCACGTCTCAGCTTCCCATCAGCCTTGATGTATTGTATTCTCTTCTCTGCAATGAAGAGATAAATCTGCAGAATCAATCTCAAAGGTTGGGCAACCAATCCACTGAGCAAACATCACTTTTCTCCCAACGCTCCAGACCACCTCGGGGACGATCACACTCCTATCGTGGCAGGGGAGGCGTCCGACCTCCTTCATCCAGCAACCACGACATCTCAGCTGTCGACAAATCCTCTTATCCTCCGAGACCGACTTGTCAAATATGTGGGAAACTCGGGCACTCTGCTCTCACCTGTTGGCACCCCAGTAATCTGCAATACACTCCAGCTATACCAAACCAGGCCAAGGCTCTCTATACTCTCAACCACAGCAGAGCAATTCTACCTTAGACTGGGTACTGGATTCCGGAGCCACGACTCACCTCACCTCAAATCCTCAGTCAAATCTCCAGCCTACACCATACTCTGGATCGGACTCTGTTTCCATTGCCAATGGGAGCAGCCTTCCTATTCAAAACCAGGGACAAGGCATTCTGCCTCTTCCTCATACCCCACGTAAGCTTTTTCTTCATCAAATTCTTCATGTTCCCTCCTTGTCTCATAATCTCCTTTTGATACACAAGCTAACCTCCGACAATCACTGTTCGGTTTCCTTTGACTCTCATGGTTTCACCATTCAGGATCTACAGGACAAACAAGTTCTTCTTCATGGACGAGTCCGTAACGGTCTCTACACTACCTCAACTACCTCCACACCCGCCACAGCACTCATCTCCACCCCAACCTCCGACGAACCATGGCACAGTCGACTGGGTCATCCGCATCATCGAGCTCTTCAGCATCTATCTAGTTTAATACCTATTATCAATGTTTCTTCTCGTCCCCCTCTATGCAAATCGTGTAATCTGGCTAAAAGCCATAAGCTACCGTTTAGTCCTAGCATATCCTCTGTAACTAAACCTTTTGCTTTAATACAATCGGACATATGGGGTCCGTCCCCTGTTCCTTCCGTTAATGGTTACATATACTTCATTACTTTCATAGATACGCATTCTCGTTACTGCTGGATCTATTTAATGCATTCTAAAGACGAAGCATTCTCTAAATTTCATCAATACTACAACATGATCAAAAACAACTTCAATTCCAACATTAAAACCTTAAGATCTGATAATGGCGGAGAATTCATTAACAATACCTTTCAAAAAAATTTCACTACTAACAGCATAATACATCAAACCACCTGTCCTTACACGCCGGAGCAAAATGGCATTGCCGAAAGGAAAAATAGACACCTTCTAGACATTACAAGAACTCTCCTCCACGCAGTAAATCTGCCCACACATTTCTGGGCCGAAGCTCTTCTAACCGCCAACTACCTCATCAACAGATTACCAACCAAAGCCTGTAACAAACACATTGTCACGCCCCAAGATCTAACTTGGAAAGAATGTCAATCAATTTATCAAACAATTTACCAGAGTTATCTAAAACCTTCAATAACAGTCTATCAAACATCTATGAAATTTAAAACATCAATATACAGGTCTATTCATATCTCAAAAAGTCATGTACAATACTCAGGAACTACACTAAAATCACCAGTACTGAAATCTATCCTGAGTACAAAAGAATCAAAATTATCAAAAGACAAAAACCTGAAGATCCGGATCAATTCCTATCTTCTGCTCCCTTGTCCTGACCTGAAAATATCAACCACATATAATGAGCTTTACAAAGCCCAGCAGGTCACCTAATACCCATAACTGAAATCAAAGAACGACTATGCTTTCAATATGCATGTCAGTCAATGGTCAATGAGTCTATGCAACGTGGAATCCATAGTCAATGCAACAGCAGGAAAAACGATTAATCCAGCTCAATCAATCAGTACGTGAAATCTCAAGAGAATCCACACACATACCATTTCAACTCCTTCACGGCCACCTTCCTTCTTACGATCACTTATGGACTTTCGGCTGCCTCTGCTTCCCATGGCTTCGACATCTCACTACCAATAAACTTCAACCACGCTCCCAAGAATGTATACTCCTAGGCTATTCATCCACACAAAAAGGGTATCGTTGTTACAACCTAACAACCCATAGAATTCACACCTCCCGTCATGTTGTTTTTCATGAACACATCTTCCCATACCAATCTCACTCTTCTCTCCCACCCTCTGATTCAGCACCATCCTCCCCTCTTCTCCTCATACCCACATCCACCTTAAATCCAACCACCACTCTCCCTTCCCAGCACTCATGTCCCACAGCATCAACACTACACTCTCCTATCCCTTCTCCACTAACCACACCACACCAATCCATATCTTCCAAAACACTCTCCACCGCCTCACTCACCCCACCTCTCCCACAACCCAAACATCCCATGTTAACCCAGTTCAAGACCGGGCACCTCAAACCAAAGAACATCCTTGACCTCTCAGTCACCCTGTCAACCGACCAAACTCCAACCACATACAATCAGGCCAGCAAATCTCCGATTTGGAGAAAAGCTATGTCTAATGAGCTTGCTGCCCTTCTAAAACAACAAACCTGGACACTCGTCCAGCCCCCACCAGATGCCCCTGTTCTAGGTTGCCGCTGGACTTACAAAACCAAACTCAATTCAGCAGGTCAGCCTCTCACCCACAAAGCTCGTCTTGTGGCCCAAGGTTTCTCCCAGGAGCACGGCATCAACTATACCGAAACCTTTAGCCCTGTGGCAAAAATCACCACCATCCGTCTTTTGCTCGTGCTGGCTCTTCAACGGCAATGACAGGTTCTACAATTCGATTTCTCCAATGCTTTCCTTCATGGCGACCTCAACGAACGAGTATACATGAAACAACCTCCGGGCTTCACCGATCCGTCCCTTTCCGATCACGTTTGTCAACTGCGAAAATCTCTTTACGGCCTCAAGCAGGCCCCACGACAGTGGTTCACCAAATTCACTTCATCCCTACTTCAGTTCGGGTTCATCTTCAGCAAGTCAGACTCGTCTCTGTTACTATACCACAAGCACACCACCCGCTTGTATCTTCTAATCTACGCGGACTATCTGTTGTTAACGGGCAACGACCAGATCACCATCAGCAAACTACTTCACAAACTGAAAACATAATTTGCTCTAAAACAGCTCGGAACAGTCTCCACATTTCTTGGGATTAAGGTTCAATACACACCCAACGGTTGCTTCTTACACCAGTCTCAGTATGCTCGGGATTTGCTTCTCACCTCCGGGTTCTCCAACTGCAAACCCGCTCCCACTCCGCTTCCTACAAAAACATCCACCTGCTCTTCTGCGGACGATCTTTTGACAATCCGAAGCTTTACAGACGAATCACAGGCTCACTTCACTACCTCACCATCACACGGCCCGACATTGCCTTTGCCACAAACCAAATCTGTCAAGCTATGCACAGGCCGACCAACCAGCATTACCAATCTCTCAAGCGTCTGTTACGCTACATTCAAGGGACACAACACATGGGTCTCCCTTACATATCTGGTGAACTCACCCTCCAGACATTTGTAGATGCCGACTGGGCAGCTGATCATTGTGATCGTCGGTCTGTTACCGGGATTTGCTCATTCTTAAGTCCAAATCTCATCCAATGGCAGGTGAAAAAGCAGGCAACCGTCTCCAAATCATCCGTCGAGGCTGAGTACCGAGCCCTCTCCTCGGCCACCTCCGAAGTCCTCTGGCTTCGTCGACTACTAGCTGAATTCCAATCTCCTCAATTACATCCGACCCCGGTATACTGTGACAACATGTCTGCTCTGGCACTAGCCAAGAACCCGGTCTTTCACGCCCGCACCAAGCACATTGATATAGATTATCACTTCATCAGTGAACATATCCGAGAAAACTCAATTGTGCTTCATCACATTGAGTCACAAGATCAACCGGCAGACATTCTAACCAAGCCTCTACCTACACTCCGCTTCCTTCAACTCCGAAACAAATTTACTGTCCAAACACTGGACACTTCATTTGTAGGGGGATGTCAGCACAACAGCGAAACCACCTCTCCCAACGGCCACTGCTCCACTCTTCCTGACAAGGCAGACTGTCAACAACGGCTTAGCAGCCACTAACCATCATGATAAAGTTTTACTCATCCTTGCTTATATAAGCAATTTTGTATCATTGTTCATCTTTAAGATTAATGAACATCTCCTTTCACTGCCAGTCTTCTTCTTCTTCCTTCTTTACTATCTCTTTGTGCATGTGATTCCTCACTGTAAGCCTAGAATGACATTAGGTCTCATAAATACAAAGAATTATTAGGTGTGGAGTGCGTCCGGAGGGCAATAAAAATGTGTCACGTCACCTCATTGGTGGGTACCCAGCTCGGTACCCACACTTGGTACCGTTGAGTACCGTTGGGTACGCTAGGTACCCAGTGCTTGTGCGGACGGTTCTCCCATCCGCACTCCGCACCTAATAATTGCTCCATAAATACGTACTTTAAATGTTGATCATGCTATGTTTGAACCTTATTAGGACATTCTCAATCTTGAGAGAGCTCATTTACACCATATTCTCGAAATAACTCAATCGAGCCTTGATCAAAGAATGTTTGAATATTGATCAAATCTTCTTCAAACATTATTCAAACTTGAGGTGTATAATCTTTATTTTTTTAATTAGATTCAAACAATGTTTAATTGTTGTTTAATCAGAGTTTTCGTAAGGTCAAAACTCCATTCGAACAAAATTAGAGCATGGTATGATTAACGATTGGATAATATTTGATGAAGGCTCTATTTAGGTTAAAGCAACGTTTGAACCAAATATTTTAGTTGCATCATATATGCAGATGTCTACTATGATCTTACATACAAATAAGCATTATATACTCGAGTATATATATAGATCTAGAGTGTAAAATAGATATACAATATGAGGCAAATGACCTCATTGTGTTTAATATTTTAGGCAATGAAACAATATATTTGACAAATGTGTAGCTAAATATTAACATTTTTGTGTCATGGAATATTCGCGATGGTAGAGAGAGATAAAATTTAGCGTCTTAGCTTTGTACAAAAATCCAACACACAAATAGGTAAAAGATAAGGGTGTAGCATTCATCAGAGACACCAAAATTTTTTTATGTGAAAATCGCAAAGTATTGATAAG